GGTATGTGACATCATTATGAGGATTGACCTTTAATAAAACGTACCTTTTCCCAGGGTAAGAAGCAGGGTTTAGAATGACGATAACCCAGGATAACGTAGTGAGAAAATACCTTATAATTAACTTTGCCACTATACATGTTAATTTCGAGTCATTAGAGTATTAGTAGACTGTCTGCTTTATATCTGCTAACAGTTTATTTTGAAGGTCCCCCAACATACATTCTATTAAATTTAAGTAACTTTGCAAGTACATGTCAACTTACTCTCAACAACCCTACCTTAATCCTAACCAAATAGTCTACTAATACTATGATTATACTCTAATGAGAGTTAGTTGACATGTAGGCTAGTTGCAAAGGTGATAGTGGACTATCAAAATAAAGTGCAACCTGGGTATGACCTCTTTTTTTTTTTTACAAGCTTAAAAATCTATACTCTGTAATAGAGTTACCACCATCAACAAGATCTAAAGATGCCTGATAATCATAGTTTGTGCTTCAAAATATTGGTTCCTACCTGATCTTGATCTATGTAGATGTCAGGAATGTGAACATTTGCTGTTCCAAGTTTTAATTTATACATTCAATGAGCAGTTTACCTCACACCATGTGCTAGAAACATCTAGACACCCCCCAAAAATCAGCATCTCTGGGAGCTCTCAGGTACCATAAAGCAAGGTATTCACCAGATCATGTCTCACAAATACAGGCATGTTGTGCTTCAGTGTAGCTTTAAAAAGGGTGTTTGGCAGGTGATTGGATGAAGGGGAAAAATGATAATTATGGCTGATGAGCGGGAGGCTGCATGCTGTGACAGTGTGACAAGTGAGAGCTCTTTAATTTGTTGGATCAGATAGTGACATGCTCCATCAGAGGAAGGGGGAAGTCTTTTCATTTGTGCAAAAGAAAGGTGGAAAGGGGGTCAATTAGCATCAGCCATTAGACATCTCATGACATGCTATATGTTATCACCTGGTACAGTCATCTTAATGAGAGAGGAAGAGAGATTTTTCAACTGTATTGGATTGAATTCAGAAGCAGCACAGTTCATGAGCAATCATAAGAAAAACAGCTGATATGCTGTTCCTCACATGCAGCAAATGTTATGATGTTGTGCTTTACGTACCGTCCATTTAAGATTTTTTAAAATGTTTTTGAAGGTTCTGTTATGCTAACCAAAGCTGCATTTATTTGATCTTAAATAAAGTAAAATATTAATATTATGGAATTTAACTATTTAAAAGAACCGTTTACTATATATATATATATTTATTCCAGATTTGGTGCTCAAATAATATTGTTGGTGCTTAATACGTCTTGAATTTATTTGGAAATCATGCATAACAATAATAATAATAATAAAAAATAATAATAAATTACATTTTAAAAATATATTTATTTTAAATTACAATAACATATTACATATGCATATTTTTTGCACTTAACTGTGAACAGTTAAACTGGGGGGTGGGGGAAGACAAAAATTACATACAAGGTTCTCATCCATTTATTTATTTATTATGGTATATGGTGGCATGAACTCCAAGATTTACAATTAAATAATGAATAATGCCAAAAGGGAATTTTGATATTTTGATATTTTTCATATCATCCAGTGAGACCAATACAAAGCCACAATTTTTAACCAGTGCCTTATTTGATGCAATGACAGGTGCAGTGAACCTCTCTACAGTATATTGATTTGGAGGACCTAGAGGTATGTGACATCATTATGAGGATTGACCTTATCCTGCTCTGCCCTGAAGTCTTAGAGTAAATGAACATTACTGAGATCAAGAGTCTGGCTTTTCTACTAGGCTGGTATAGTTACTGGTGTCATGGAAACATGACATCCTGTCTCTCAACTCTAATCAAAACGACTGGTTTTACGTGCATTTGAGGAAGTAATATGTCTTCAAATATATATTTCTCAAAGCTTCATTTGTGTGGTAATACATTACCATTACCTGTTCTCTTTCAGACATTCAGATCTGTAGAAAAATAGACAGAGGAAGGTCTAATGTTGCTTATTTGGAGCTAATTGCTAAGGTCGTGTCCTTTGTGCATCCACTGGTTCCTAGTGAGTGAAGACCGCATATTGAGAGAGGTTGCTGTGAATTAAACTCCTGCTACTGAGAACAGGGAAGAAAGAGACTCACTCACTCACACACAAAAACACATTCTCTGTCTTCTCCTCACATACACACACACATTCTTGTGAATTCTTGATCCCCCCCCCCCCCCCTCTCTCTCTCTAAATATCCTGCACACTCCCACATGCATGGCACATTCGCAATCTTTCTTTTTACTCTTTATTTCTCCTGTACTTTATCTTGAGCTTTCTCTTTCCTTCTTACATTCCGGTGATGCATCCTTTGTCCTTGTATTCTTAGAGCAAGCTGCAGTGACTGTGTCGGTGGCACAAAGGAGCGGTGGGTATTAAAACAGCTGTCTCTGGTGGTCCGGATGTAATTGGGATTGTTAACGTTCTCGGCTCCTGAGGGATGCTCGTGAGAATGTCTTTGTGTAAAGCACACAAGCTCCACAGCGGCATACCTTGATTTTTTGACGTCAAAAAAAGAAAACAAGTCACCTGAGCTACTGTACATCAAGTCTGGCTGTTATTTTTTTCACCCCCTGCTTTTTTATCCTCCTGTTTTGGGTTGTTGCTACTGGTGCACTGTTATTTATATGTAAAGGAAAACGTCTATGAAGCTCAATTTTAGTCAGAATTCCTATGAGAGCATGCTTTCTTAGTGGAGAAAATAAAAGTGTATTTATGAGCATGCGGACATAGCTTTTGAAGGAGGAGAAATATCTTTGCAAACCTAGCTCCTAAAAGCACCTGTCTGGTAATACAAATTGAAACACAATATCATCAAATAAGAGGCAGATACAGAAAGAGACAGAGACAGAAGGAGAAGAAAAACAGACAGATGAAGCGGGTTAAAGATGTAATGTAATTTAAATGTTAAAAGGCCAAATTTCCATGATTACTTACTGAAATGCAATGAAATTCCAAATCGATTTATTGTTTGTAAATTGTGCAAAGACATTTGTCCAAACGACACTTTGGCCACCTGATTATGTATTTTAGTTTAGATCAGATTCATTTTAAACTGATATATTAAAGCTGAGCAATTAAATCGCCCTGATAAATACATTTCTCAACGCTACAGTGAGACAAAACTACTCCTCAAACTCAATCGTCTCAGAGCGAAACCTAATTGATTTATTTGAGGTTATATAGGCCTAAACTTTTTTTGTGGTTCGTTGTGAATGAAATTTTCATTTGCCGATTTAGGGGTGGTGAAATGTAAACGATTTCGTTAAAGTTTCATCATAAATCAGTCTTTGGGTATGTACAAGGAGACAGTGATTGGGCCTTGAAGTCTCCTGAGCAGGCGCGCCAGGGGTGGCCCTCCCTTTGGAGAGCTACTGTACCTCTCAACTTCCTGCACAATCGTCAAAAAAAACTGTGATTGCCATGGGACAAATTCTACGCCGACATACATAAGAATCCGTAACATCCGAAACGGAGACTTTTTCTTCATATTTATGTATTTAGTTGTTTTATTTATTTATTTATATTTTAATTAAAGTCCGAGAAAATTTAAATTAATTGTTATTTAGCCAGAGTCGGGATACGTTTTTTCCCCAACAACAAGATGCAACACTTACGCTAATTTAATTTCTTAATTAGTATAAATTTGATGACAAACAATCCTTTAAGATATAAACATACATACTGGCATATTCAGAGTATGTCTCCACAGAATAATGCATTTACGCAATGAGATATTTTAATGTTTTGCATGTGGCATATCTTTGACAGATATTAGCTCGTTGTTAAACTATAAATTGTAATTACTGTTTGGAAGATTTGAGCATATTTAATGCGGAAATAATACATTTAATGCATTCGAATAGTTTTAGCTCAAGTTAAAATTTGGATCTCACGTTAGCTGTGCACTTGAACATGCGAGGTTAGTCGGTAGCTATGATGCATCACTTACCCCATCCAATGGACTCGAATAGATTAAACAAATTAGAACATGATTAAAGGTTTTTAATGAAATCACTGATGAAGTAGTCTAATTAGAACGAAGATATGATAATAGCCCGCTGCGACGAGTATATAATTGTATTGGGTTTGCAATTAAATCCTAAAGAGTTGTAAAAAATCCGCTTTTCTGTCATTAATGAAATACTTCACATAGTGTAGCCTGTTCTGTTGGGACATCAAATTCATAACACACGCTCAATGATAACTCAAATGGCTTTCCTATTTATTATTTCAATAACAGGGAAAACTAATAAATTCGTCAACGCGAAGCAGATTTTTTTTTTCTAAATAAAATCAAAGCAGGTTAATTACTGAATGACTCTCGAACAAATATAAATCTAATTTAAATTCAATATTTCGACATTTCACCGGACGTGATTTGTTTAATGCGTGTCGGTATATCAAATGACCTCGCTATAATGGAATGATAGTCGTGCGTTTTACTTTGATTTATTTCACCCAAAAGGGACAGCAGATGATGAAGCTGTCTATGGTGATTTCTTCATATTCATCCACGTTTCTCCGACCAAGCTTCCATTCACGAATGAAATAGCACAGACTATTTCTAATATATATATATATATTTATCATAATGAAAGTTTGGTATTATACATAAACGTTACAGAATAATTACACATGCACGTCTGTTCAATATACAACGTATGTTTAAATAAACCTTCTTGATATTATTATAACACTGAAATATTTAACTTAAGAATACAGTTCTGCTTTCATTGTATTTCTTTAACCATGGTGCTTCCTCAATAACTTTATTGAAGTAACATACAATACCAGCTCCAGTCATTGCAACTGCCCATGCGCAGTGTCCCCAGCGGCGCGCTGGCTAATGAAGAATAATAAATCATGAAAGGTTTTTCAGGTACAGCCGAGAGAGTGTGTAAGAGGAGAGGGGGTGAGCGAATGGGTGAGCAAGAGAGAGAGAGAGACGCAGCCTGCCCTTCGCCTTGGAGCACAGACAGATCGAGTCCCCGCAGCATTGAATGTAGTCGACTGCCACCTTTATCTCATAATCAAATTCAGCAAGAATCGGGATAAAGGTTAACGAGCGATATTTGGTTCTAGCAACGTCGTTCTGGAGATTTGCACGAAGAGAAGAGAAGAGAGAAGAAACTTTTTGCACTCGTTTTAAAAGCGTGAGCAAAGACAAACTCACCAAAGACATCAGCCTCCGCTGTGACAAATGTAAGATAGTTTGTAAAGGCGGAGGAACATTTCTGTGGAGCGTTTTGGTAAGAGTTGACGTGATCTTTGAAGGAGTTTACCGACAGGTTGCATGGCTTACTGGTGCTCGCGGCACGTCTCTAGACACGGCACGCGACGAAGCGACCAGGAGATCGTTCTCTCAGACCATTAGGCAGCAGCACTAGACGAGCTATCTAGAGACGTGGTGCATCATCCTCTTCACGATCGTTGCAACGCCAGAGACTTGAGACTTCCACGCAGCGACTGGGCTTGAACTCCAGTCGAAGAAGAAGAAGGCGGAGTCTTAACTTATTAAAAGGAACTCGCCGAGGCTCGGTAGCAAATATGATGATGATGTCTCTGAACAGCAAGCAGGCGTTCGCCATGCCCCACACCAGTCTGGCCGAGCCCAAATACTCCAGTTTGCATTCTTCGTCCTCTTCCACTTTGACTTCCAACGCGCCCTCGTCCTGCTGCGCGACGTCCAGACACAGCAACTCGATCATCAGCAGCGGAGGCAGCTCGGAGGCGATGCGCCGAGCATGTCTCCCAACCCCACCGGTACGTATTCTGCATAATCACCGCTTAAAGGCACAGTTTGACAGCCCACTTTTTCTGCTTGATGTTTTTTTCATGTCTGCACAGCAAATCATCCAACACCTCCATTTTTCCCTCCCAACTTATGTATTCAGCCGGGTTTGCCTTTCGTATTAATTTTTATGACCTGGGATGTTGCATGTGTCTTGTTTTGTGTGTTCTTTTTTAGGATTTCTTTTTTTTTTTCATGCTGGAAATGTTTTAAAAGCACGGAGTGGAGCGCGAATTCCCTGCTGACAGTTATGTGTGCATTCTATTTGCAATTGCAGAGCAATATATTCGGCGGATTGGATGAGAGTTTGTTGGCCCGCGCGGAAGCTCTGGCGGCGGTGGATATAGTCTCGCAGACCAAAAGCCATCATCACCCTCCTCATCACAGCCCCTTCAAGCCGGACACAACCTACCACACCATGAACACGCATCCGTGCACCTCGTCATCTTCCTCTTCGTCGTCCGTGCCCATCTCGCACCCGTCAGCTCTCGCGGGCCATCACCACCACCACCACCATCACCACCACCAGCCGCACCAGGCACTGGAGGGCGACCTGCTCGATCACATCACCCCAGGACTTGCACTTGCTGGAGCCATGGCCGGGCCAGACGGCTCGGTGGTCTCCACGCCTGCGCACCCTGTCCACATGGCAGGCATGAACCACATGCACCAAGCTGCCATCAACATGGCTCACGTCCATGGGCTGCCATCCCACATGAGCTGCATGAGCGACGTGGATGCAGATCCCAGGGACTTGGAGGCATTCGCTGAGCGCTTTAAACAGCGTCGGATCAAACTCGGCGTGACACAAGCGGATGTAGGGTCAGCGCTGGCCAACCTGAAGATTCCTGGCGTAGGCTCTTTAAGTCAGAGTACCATCTGCCGGTTTGAATCACTCACGTTGTCCCACAACAACATGATCGCCCTGAAGCCCATCCTGCAAGCCTGGCTGGAGGAGGCTGAACAGTCGCACCGGGAGAAACTCAACAAACCCGATCTCTTCAACGGGGCCGAGAAGAAGAGGAAGCGGACCTCCATCGCGGCCCCCGAGAAAAGGTCCCTCGAAGCTTATTTTGCTATTCAGCCGCGTCCATCCTCAGAGAAAATTGCAGCAATCGCAGAGAAGCTGGACCTCAAAAAGAACGTAGTGCGGGTTTGGTTTTGCAACCAGAGGCAGAAACAGAAACGCATGAAATATTCGGCCTGCATCTAGCTCGACCAGAAAACCAACATGACGTGTCGAGAGACTTCTAAAACTGTTTAGAGACGATTTGTAAAATATTTCTTATCTCACACCTTTTCAATCATCAATAACTTGTGCATTGAACCAGAATTTCATGACATTCAAAAGAGACATTTGAAAATACCAAATCACTGTCGCGTATTACGCAAAGGGGATGTGGACTCATTTAAAGGATCGTTTGACTGATCAAGTAAGACCATTCGTTTTTCCTCACTTATTCTAGCACACTTTCTATATCAGAGGAGCAAGACTCTTTAAACCTCAATCAGACAGCCTGCCTGAAGCTGAATAGCATATTTTAGTCATTTACCAGAAAGTGTTGTGTATCGAGCTACACGTAACACCAGTAATTATTATAAACTGATCAATTATAAACTGAGAGGGGGAAAATACTTCAGGTCAAAGTAGTGGCAGTGTCTTGTCAGTTTTTCTCTTTTAAAATATTTCTTTCTCAGCATGTCACGCTTCAATCTGGTGTTAAGTCAGGGTTCATTAGATAAAAAGAGGACATCACAAATTAAGTCCACGAACGATTCTGCAACATTATTAGATAACACCCAAACAGCTCCTTGTAAATTATTGATTTAGCTGTTACATGCATAGTTTTGTCTGTCGTCTTCTTAATTCCACTTCTGTGATTTTAGTAATGATAACCATAGCCTACAGTTAGGCAATGGGCGATAATAATATCCATATTTTTCTTGTGAAGGCATCTTTGCTATAACTAATCTCTTAGTTATTCAAATAGAACATATTGGATATACTGAACACGAGGAGAGGTTCAGTTGTTTTAAGTAATGGGATTTGTTCAGCCAAATATCTGTTGCAATACGCCTGCGCTCTAACGTTTCTTATGAACTATTTATCATGTGAGGTAATGTTTACTTCATTACATATTTATTGGGATTCCCTCCACGTTTTTGCTTGAGAAAATCATATTGAGACAACAAGGAAAACGTGGCCCTCTGCAAATGGGGAAACTGCTTGAAACAGGCCACTTTTATTTTATGTTGTCTTTCGTTCTTCTAACGTTTCGAAAAGGCACAATCGAGAGATATATGAGCACATTTTCTTTGAAATTATTTTCATGTATGTTATCTGCTTATTTATTTGTATAAATATACGCGTATACTTATGGAGTCGTTGCTTGTTAAATTCACCATGTTGAGTAAAGTTTTCTTAATGAAAAAGATGAGTTTCATGGACGCATTCACGTAAAATGTAAATATCTCATTTGGACATATCCGTACAGGTATTTGCTGTATTGCTGTTTTAACTGCGGTAACTGTAATGTCTGTTGCTTTAGGTTTAATTGTCGGATCAATTCATTAATTTATAACATCGATGTATATTTAAGTTACTATTTGATAATTGAATTGAACTATGTGTTTCATTAAAGAACAACATTTTAACATTTTATTGAACGTTCTCAATGGGTTCATTTATATTCAAAGGCCTAAACAGAGTTTTCAAACATCTGACGTTTTCAAGGACACATTTCATGGACTATGTTAAACATAATTGAACCGTTTGCCTCCATATTGTATTGCTCATTGTGTGGATTACACGTGTCTTTACCACCAATGTGCAATTTTCTTATTTCTCTTGCAAGATACAAATGGGTACTCAGATTAGTTTAGTATATTGCTGTTTGCCTAAAAAAGACGTCTTGACATCTTCGTGAGCTGTAGAGCTACGCTTGGTATTTCCACGAACGACTTGCTGCTGCTAGCATTCGCAACCCTTAGAAGCCTACCTGAGAGCAAATGCTAATATTCTATTAGAGTCTAATCATGAAGTCTATAGAGATCTAGGGAGGTCCCTCGAGCACAGCGCTGCCAGATGTCAGGCCGCCAGAAAAACACCTCGCCTGCCAACGTGCCGGGCTCCATTTAAATCCACAGTCGATGGTTCTCGTTCTTCTGCCGACATAGGCAGCCCTTTGAAGACTGACTCAGTTCACTGTTAGGCCGTATGAAAAAGAAAAAGAGAGAGAGAGAGAGAGAGACGGGAGTGTCATCTCAGTAGAGGCGCATGTCATGGCATTCTAGGCGTACCAATTGCTTTCAGCACCACGGACAGCCGCCTGAATAGAAGATGTTTTGCCATTGATGTTTCATGCCTATTTTCAAGGGATTTAGCAGATGATGAATGCAATTTGCATTTCGTTTTGCTCTTTTGAAAAACACGAATGTAATATAAATATGTTCGCAAAATTGTGTTTATTATTATTATTATTTTATCAATTTTTTAACGCCTTTGAAAAATGACAACATAATTCTTTTAGCTGGGAAAAACACTCGGAAAGTATTTAGTTAGGCTTAAAAAAAAATTCTGGGATTTATTTATATTTTTATAGATTTTTAAAAAATGTTTTAATGTAATTAATTCACTGACTGAATAGACCCTAAAGTTCTCCTCAATTCTAACCAGTTTCAAAGGAGGAAATCAGTTCTCCTAAACGAGATTATCACTTAACACGATAATATGAACGAATTATTAAATTACACATGGAATTATGAAAATCAGATAATTACTAAGTAAGTAATCATTAACTGGAGCTGTTAATTACAGCCGGGCATGGAGGGCTGGACGTGGAGAGGCTGGTCGGGAATGGAAATGAATTTCGTGGACGAAATGGCCTATCCCGAGCGAGCTACCCCCTAATTAACTTTCAGATAGGTGCGAAAATTATCGATCGATTTTTTTTAACGCATGCATTCAGGGGGAACCAGAGAGGTAGACTAAACTATAGGAACATTTTGTACACACACTGGTGCGCTTACTTTTCAATATTTCCAAGAAAAGCGAATGTGTCACTTTATTAAACTGATCCAAGAGAGGGCACTGACCTGTTAGCGGCATAGCATACATGTGATTCTCATGCTTTAAAAACCAAGGTGGTCGCGCTCAGAAACGAAAGGGCAGCGCTGTTTTCCTTTGTTATAATTAGGTCGTCTGTTTTCTTTCTCTTTCCCCCTGAACATTTCCCCCCTTTCATAGGGATAGTGATGAAATTTTAATGAAGCCAGGGACTGTCTTGCTCCGCCTGGGGACCTACGAATAGAATATTTTAACTGTACATTTACCCCAAGTGTCTGCCATCAAAGCACGTTAAGACAAACCACAGGCCTCTGACGTGTTGGAACCCCTTATTTAGTACTTGAACATGTATTGTATTGTCACTGATGTCCACTGTATTTAGATTTGTTCCCCTCCACAGGCATTATTGGTATAATTTAAAAAAAAGTTTTGTAATAGGTGTAATAATCGTAAAACATCTTAAACAAAACAAATCACTAATGCATGTACGAATACACAAGTTCACCATGTCTTGAACTCCTCTCTCTCTCTCTCTCTCTCTCTCTCTGTCTGTATCTCTCTCTCACACACACACACACACACACACACACAGGTTTGTTTTTACGGTTTATGGGGACTCTCCATAGGCGTATTGGTTTTTATACTGTACAAACTGTATATTCTATTGCCCTACACCAACCCTGCCCCTAAACCTACCCATCACAGGAAACTTTCTGCATTTTTAGATTTTCAAAAAAGCTCATTCTGAATTATTTATAAGCCTTTTGAATTACGGGGACACTGAAAATGTCCTCATAAATCAGCTTCTCGTTGTAATACCTATGTCATACCCATGTTATTATACAAATTTGTGTCCTCATAAACCACATAAACATGCACACACACACACACATACGTGTAAAATAACACTGGCCAAAGGCGATAAAGAGTTTTAAGCATATATGATTAAATGGATAAACCAATAATTGTGATGATAATGAGCGAAATACAAAATCTAGAATAATAAAACCATAATGCAGACCTTTATGCTTTGAAAATATTGATAAATAATATTAGCGTAACAATAAAAAATAGCAATAATACTACAGTGAGAAAACTACTGCCAATTCTACTGCAACACAAAAGTCATTAACAGATTTAGCTTTAGTACAGGTTTGTCACGTCTCACAATATTTAGCCTAGCCTGCCTGTTATCATAATTTGAATTAACTAATTAAATTATTTACAATTATTCGACACAACATTAGCCTGAGGGTTTATTTGCACTGATAAAACCATATGAATCTGATTCGATGCATCAAAAAACAAAATAGCCAGATTTTGGGATATAGGTTTATTTTAACAAAACATAAAAAAATATTAATACTAATTTACTTTCCATATTTTTCTGAAACGATTCCGTTTGCGGTGCGTCAGGTGAACAAATGCAATTTTCTAAAGCGCCTAATGAACAAATGCACACACTGATTGAACACCATTCTTATTTAAAGCCAAATCAGTTTACTATCCTTACGCTGCAAGTACACCCCACAGAATGTGGCATACTGCTGAAAAGTGTGTCTTCAAAAGAGGCCTATGGTGATTAAATATTAAAGAGTCTAGGATGAGCATGTTTTTCGCCCAATTCTGGTTTTCTTCCTGCTCGCCAAGAAATTCATTTAGGCTTTAACGCACAACACGTTGCGTTCTCTTATTCGCAGAGGCTGTTGCGCCGTTCCAAACGAGCAAGTCGCAGTTAGATCGCGCATTTGGCAATAATGAGAAGGTGGTAGAGCTGTCTGCTGGATGTGTGTGTTCATTGAGGTTTGACAGCCGTGCTCCGCTGCAGATCTATTCATCATACCCGCAAGGACTGCCCCTCTCGCTCTCTCTCTTTCTCTCTCTATCCCCTCTGTCCTCAGTTTATACAGAACAGAATCATTTACATAAAGTCCTTAAGGCAAATAACTGTTGGGGGCTCTAATTTATATCTGATCGAAAATTAGCCGTCATTATGCGCCCCATTAGCCGCGTCTTTAATGTGCTTCTAAGCATCATTTGTCAAGCAGCTTGTTAATATCCTTCAAGTCTTTAAAGTTGAGAGCTCATTAAAAGACTCTGCACCCTGGTATTGATGCTATTTTATAAAATTCTGCAAAGCGTAAAGGACCGTTTAAAAGTTTTCTCTTTCTCCTACTGAATGATGTATGGCTTCCTGAGCACTAGGCAGGATACACCATT